TGCCGTGAGGACTGTTTAGCAGTCTTTACGTTCTTAGAAGGCAAGCAAGGAGGCAATGCTGCCGAGGTGGAGCTGTAGGTACGGAAAACGCTGGAGACGCTTTGCCGAAGAATCAGTGTGAATCTGTACCGCTTGCTGGTTACCTCACAGATAGGAAGGGTACGGTTGGGACTTTTAGAACTGCACTCCTATTCTGCATTTTTATTTTCTATTAGTTTTGCAGTACATAAAATTACATATGCACGTTATTTATTAGTACATGTACATAACACCTCTCAATGCCAATTATTCTTCTCATTTACAAAGTTTTGTTCCCGTCCTTTGCTTCAATTCTGTTTCCCTCCCCCTCCCTCTCTCTGGATTCTCCTTCCACCATCTTTTGTTCTACTTTCCTTTGAAGGCAGATCTCCCTATTTCCTAGATCTGGGATCTTTTTTTGGTGGAACCAGGGATTTTTTTTTTTTTAATTTTTATTTATTTATTTATTTATTTGAGAGAGAGAGAGAGAGAGAGAGAGAGAGAGAGAGACCAGCTCAGCCCACCAGGGGGCAGGGCTGGCTGGCATGTGGTGCTGGGGGATTGAACCGCGGTCCCTGATGCTTTTGCTAAACTTGTTCTAAGTAGGTGCTTTAGACCACTGAGCCATCTCTCCAGCCCGGAACCAGGGATTGAACTCAGGCCCTTGCACTTGCCAGGGAAGCACTTATTCCACTGAGCCATCTCCCATCCCCTCTCCCTATTTCCTTTCATCTGTCTTCCATCTTACAGTTTGGGCTCTCATCTAACACATGGGCATCTTCTTTATTTCACTTAACATTATGGTCTCAAGGAGCACCCATTTATCTAGGAACACCTCAAATTTGTTCGTGTTTACGGCAGCCTTGTACTCCGTGATATGAAAGCATCACATTTTTTTTATCTACTCATCTGTTGATAGGAATTTAGGCAATTTTCAAAATTTAGGGGCTGTAAATTATACGGCTTTACACAAGGGTAAGACAGACACTTGTTAGAAGTTCATATAGCTAATAAATGCATGAAAAGTTCCTCAACATTGTTGGCCACTAGAGATGTACACATTAAAACAATACCGAGATGCCATCTCACTCTAGAAAGAATGGCTAACTTGAAATCAAATAAGTACAGATGTGGGCAAGGCTGCGGGAAAACGGAGCCCCTGGGCCTTGTAGTGAGGATGGAAACAAGGATAGCCACGGTGGGAGTCAGCATGGAGATTTGCCAGAAAACTCAAGCTGGAAATGATGTTCAACCTGCACGTCGCCTTCTGAGTTGACATTTTAAACAAAAATCTTTGAATTTTTAATATCAGTATATTATGCAATTTACCTTAATAAAATACTATTGCATATGAATGGAAAATTAAGCACTTACTGAATAAGGGAATAAAGTTAGTTACAAAGCTACTCAAAATAATTCTATCTAGAAGCCCAAAAACATAGTAAAATAAGTATTTCTCTCTCTTTCCTTCTTTTTGTCATACACACACACACACACACACGTGCGCGCGCACACACACACATTCATAAAGTACTAATCTCCATATCAAATAGAACATTTCACTATTGAATTTATCCAAGTCTTTTTTTTTTTTTGCTCATTAAAATTTTCTCAAATTTGCAGTATTTTCTCTTGTTTATTTTCTCTTCTGTTCTCAGCATCCACAGTGTGCTTTCTTTTTCACCCTCTTTGCTCATATATAAAAGTTTTGTCACTACACAAGTCATTTCATATAGGATGGGTACTAGAAAACTCTGGTGACAAAGAGATACTAATTAGCAAGTCTCTGTCCTTATTACAGTGATTCATTTCTGTGTGTAGTTCTGTAAGGGTTAAATTCAAAACCATATCTCAAAACCAGAAATGTGTCACAGCTCTCCAGCTACGCTAAAATATTTTCAGCGTTAAATCCTCCAACATAAAAAAAATAAAATCTACTGTACTGAACTTTCTTAAAGGTAACACTTTACCTATGTGTGAAAGCAGAAATCCCATGTCTTGTATTGCCTGAAGATTCCACTGTTGCTGCTCAGATAAAGGCTATGTTTATAGAGAAAACTTAGAAGTTCTTCCTTCTTGTACATGCTACTGAATTCACTAATGGGATAATCGAATGAAGTGTCCTCCAGGGATGAAATGAAAGAACATTCCATATGCCAATCTATTTATCTTGCCAGTCCACCTCTGATCACACCCTACACTTCTATTTCTACAGATTTTTTTCTTTTTTTTGCACAGGTCAAATTACCAACTATTTTATTATATCTTTGCTCTGGCAGGAGGTAGTCCTCTGATTCAACAATTGGGCTGTCATTAGCAACCTCCCCTTAAGCACCATCGATGCAGACAGTACAAAAGGCAATTTGACCGATCTTATTCACAGAGCACAAAGCGTCTACCTGGGCTGTATCCACTCCACCAGGGACCCGCCTTGTCCTCCCATGTGTGGACACACAACTGCCAAGAGACTTTCACATAATGACTTACCTGACGCAGTTTTCACACAAAGGTCAGTGGAATGATAATGACTTAAGTTTTACGTAAGTGGCCGATCTTGAATAAAATCAAACACCAAAAGGTTTCCTATTTGATTTTTATTAACTTCCAAAAAGTGTCATGTTCTAAAAATGCCAATATGTTTATGCTGTCTCAGGTTATAGGCATCATACAATGCCTACAACTATTTCTAAAGTAGTTAATGATTTGCCAAATATTTGTGGGCTTAAAATCCATCATAGACTTTTAAAAATTATGTGTAATACTCAAGCCACTGTTCATAAACATAGCATTTATTTTTGTTTATTTAAAAATAGAAGCCATAGTAACAATATATTGGCAGGGTCTCTTCCTCAAATGTAAATAGTTACTATGCATTACTTAGTGAGTTAGGAAATTCTTCAGCCTTAATAAAAGTTGTCAGGGTTTTAGTGGACCACTGATGTGAGTATCATTTTCTTAATTTGCACCATAAAGTAATAGTATTTAGAGAGCTTAATTATATAACCCAAATTGATTCAACCTCCGAGTAGTGCACAAATTGGAATCCAGAGATATTTTCATGCCAAGTCAATGGTCCTTCCGTTTTTTCATACAATGTTTGACTAGTTGCCCATTTGTATGGTCTTTAATACCAAAAGAAAACGTATGCATATCACACTTGTGACAGTTGCCAAAATCCAAAAAACTCAATCTTTTTTTCTGCCTCTTCTGTCCACCACAAACCAATGTTTTGCAAATGGATTGACTTTTTGCAGGACCAAAAGAATGAGCAGAGCTTTGTCTTGAAGAAAATCTTGGGTTCTTGATCTCCCCCAATCATCCCAGAGTCACGTTGTCAGCACGTCCTTGTCCCTTAATGAGGATGCCAGAGAAGGATTCACTGTCTCTTGACACAAATGTAGCACTGTTCATTTCTGAGTATTTTTCAAATGAAAATGATAGGAATAATAGAAAAGAGAAGAGCCCCACCACATCTGCACAATCCTCTCTCCTTCTCTCTTAATTTTTGGCTATGGAGTGCTTGGTCAGCATCTGTCTTGTCCTAGTCACTTTCTAACTGCTAAGGGTGGTGAGTAGAGAGCATAGAACAATGAAGGTGGAAACTAGGGCTACCCAAGCCACAAGCAGGTGTCAGTTCTCAGGTCCTACCTCAGCAGGTATCAACCTGGGTGGCTGGAAGCAGCAAAAATTTATTTTCTCACAGTTCCAACATCTGGAAGAACACCATGGTTTCCCAAGGCAACCCTTCTTCACTTATAGCTGGTCCCTCTGACTGTGTCTTCAGACAGCCATTCTGTGTGTCCCTGCAGCCCTGGTCTTGTTAAAAGATCACAGTTCTTTCTGCCTTAGGGCTCCAGCTCTGTGACATACTGAGCCTCTTAAGGTCCAGGCTCAATACCTTACCACTTGAGTTAGGGTTCCAATATAGGAATCTGAGGGGAACACAGTTCAGATGCTTGAGGCAGAGGCTCAATCCCTAGCCTGCTGTTTCTTGATGTCCCAACACTGGTTGGTTTTCTGAACGACAGTGTTTCATTCCCTATGCTGTAAAACAGGGGCAATAAGAGTACTAGTGTCCTGTGACTTTTATAGTTGGCAGGTTGAAGTGAGAATCTGCCTATCAGTACTAGGTGAATCTTTTTAAATACAATTTCACTCTTCTTCCTTCTCTCCCTTATGCAGATTTTGAAAATAAAGTGTAAGAGAAAAGATGGAGGAAATAGAATATTTTGATAAGTAATACGCTAGTTTTTAATTATAATAATGAATATTATATAATTAATTGTGTGGATGGACCCAACACAGAGAAAACACTTCAGATTCCTAAATGTCTCAACCAATGCATTCATTCCGTCCATCTTTCTGCAGCCCTGGTCAGCCATGTGTCAGGAATTAGCCCCTTGCTGGCTAAGCTCGCTATTTTTGGCAAGCTAGAATGGACACCTTTATCCTTTGTTTCACAAAGTGGGTGAAACAGGACACTTCGAAGGGTTTAAAGAAAAAAGAAAGCTACAACATATAACGAATTAATGTTAGTTATCCTACAGCCTGAAAAGTACCTGGCGGTGGTACTAACTCTGAGCTCTGTGAACTGGCAACCTCAGGGCCCTCCCCATCCCTGGATGCGGTTGGACTTGACCCGACCCTGAGGCTCGCGCTCCAGCCCCTCGGGGCTGGACGGCTCCGGCGGCGCGGGAGGAGGGACCTCTGCCCGCGGGGCCGGGCCAGGTACCTAGAGCGCTGGTTTGCAAAGCGCAGGTCCGGTCTCTGCGCCACCCGACTCGAGTCCCCGGGTCCTATGCAGTGGTCGCCCCGGTGCAAGTCCCTGAGGTTGGGCTGGGTGTCCCCGGCCCACGTCACCTGTTTGACAGCCTCCCGCCGAATCAGAGGGCAGCGCTGGCCGCGAGCCGCGCGCGTCACCCGGAGCTGCTTGGATTAGAACTCGCCTCTCCTGGCTCCGCCCTCCAGTCCCATTGAAATCTCAAACCGCCTTTAGGAAAAAGTGAACTCTGGGCATCGTTTCTGCGTTACTGTCTGCCAGTGCAAGATGGTAAGTGAGGACTCCGCGTCAGAAAATCCACTGGCAAAGCTGGGGCGCTCCGAAGGCTTTGCGCTTTGGGTTCATGCCACGTCAGGAGCAAGACTGTTCTGCTACCTGCAGGGAAAACGGGTCTTCTCCGCGCGCCCTCCTTCCTCTCTGCTCCCCTCCCCCTCGCTCGCTCTCTTCTCTCCCTCCTCCCCGCTGTTATTTCTCTATTATTTCCACTCTCTATTTCCTCCTTCACTTCCCTCTACACCTGCACCCACTTTTCATTCCACCTCTTCCTCTAGATTATTCACATATTTGCAAACACTTGGACTTGAGGTGCTTTCTGTGCCTTTGGGGTTTGTTTTCCTCTCAGGTGTCAATTGCATAATAGCTTAGTCCTGATTCCAATAATAATCTCGGGGGAGAGTCTGTAAATACGCTTTCAGAGTAAAAGAAAAATAATACTTGATAAACGTTTGGCTGGATTTCTTGAGTCAGCACTGCCCGAGCTTCACTTGCTTCAGAGCCTTTTGATTTTCTTTCTAAACTTAACTGTAAGAACATTAACAAAATGTGACTTTTCAATTTTTTCTTATTATTATTTGTTTTCTCTTTGTTTGTATTATGCCCAAGAAAGTTCTTAAATCAACAAAAGATTTACAAATGATCAAAAACTGTTTGGCTAATCTTGAATTAAAAGGATTTTACCTGGTTAAACATTGACAAATAATTAGGAGAGGGATGTTGTACAAAGTAACCCTGGAAGTCAGCGTCTCTGCCCCTGTTTGGAAAAGAGGAGAGATCATTTGGGCCGGAGGAGAAGAGGGTAAGAGGGCACTCACTAGGCCCAAGCACCGTGGAAAACACATGTCAGCATCTCATGGTGACAGGTCACTTGTGTAGGGGCCTTGAGCCGGGGCAATGAAGAGAACAGAGCTTGTTATCCGTGGTGTTGTGCTTCTTTACATTTTGATTAGATGTTTACCTAGAGTGAAACTATGCTCCCCTGGCTAGAATGGAAAAAAAGTTTATGTCATATCTGTAGGACAGTTATATACATATAGATACACATTCATATATATATACATACACATTCATATATACACATTCATATATATATATATATATATATATATATTAGAATATGTATGTATAGGTATTAGAATAGATAGATACACATCTCCAAATTAAGAAGCCACTTTCTATAATGTTGTGTCCTGCCCACTTTATCTTTCAAAGCCTTTAAGACACCTGCAATAGAAAACCAAATAAGTCTTAGATCTTTGAACAATTAATTAGAATTTTGTCTGCTTCATTGCTGTGTAGCTTATTGTATGAGTTAAATGTTGCAACAGGAAGTGGCTGTTCTCTACGTATCAGATCTATCTGATACTTGTCTACTCTTTGCTCAAAAGGCCCAAGCAATGTACTAGGTAAGACAAGGAGCTGAGTCCTTTATTAGTCAATGCAATTAAGCAATTTAAATGTAAGCTAGATCCATACGTAACAATTTCACTACTTTTTGGGTCATGGCATGTAATCTTTGTATGATTTTTCCGTCCTTTTCCCCCTCAAATCCGCATCACTCCACCTTCTGGACCCCTCCTTCCACTCCTTCCACTGAAATCCACAGAACACCATTCTGCCTTGTCAAGACCAGTATTTTTCAGGAGGCCAGAACTATAACTGCCCGTATTCCACTGCAACATCAGAATCTAGTGTTGATGTTTCCACGGAGACTTGGGTCTCTTTCTGGGCTGCTGGTCTCCTGGACAACAGGGAGCCCCAACAAGCACCACAGGCACAGGGTAAGTTCTGCCTCTCTGCTGTCCTGATAGAGCTAGAGCCCTCTTCTAGAACCAGAGATGCAAAGCATCATGGGCCGGGATGCTGTAGAAAATGGGTGTGAGAGAAAATTTACACCCCCACATTCCTTCAATTTCAACCATGAAACTTGGTACTTTTTACTTGCCAAATACTGAAAATGAGATTATTCCTTTTACTTGCTGGACTCCTTATACCTTGTAGCTTTTAAACACTGATTGAGGGAGCTTGCTTTAGTTGAAAGTTTTATGAAAAATGTTCTAGTAAGATGTATTTGGAGTCAAGATGCCAGTTGGAACATTTCTTTTGAAATTCAGCAAAGTTTCCCTGAGTTTGGAAGAACAAAAATGAACAAGTTAATCTTTTATGTCATAGGGGAAATTCTAAGGAAATAATTATTTCTTTTGATACAGAAGACTTTAACTTTGAAGGGAGGCACAAGGAAAATTATTATTATTATTATTATTATTATTATTATTATTATTGTTGTTGTTGTTGTTATTATTATTGGTACCAGGACTCAAACTCAGGCTCTTGTGCTTGACAGGCAGAGTCTATGATGCAGAGCTATATCACTGGTCCTATAAGGAAGATTATATACAATATTAATTTTGAACCTGGAGTTTAGTGGACAGTTCTTATAAATACTAAGGGAAGGGTTGGGGAGGTGGCTCAGTAGAATAAGTGCTTGCCTTGCAAGCACAAGGGCCTGAGTTCAATCCCCAGTTCTGCCAATGAATAAATAAATAAATACATACATACATGCATAAATACTAAAAGAATTGATTTTATGTAAAGCGAAACCTCAAAGACCACTCAGAATTAAGCATTTGCACTGTTATTCCAAGATAGGAAATGATTTGGGGGAGGGGTAAGAAAAGGCACAAAAACTTTGAAATTTTGTAACATCATTCTAGTCAGGGAGGCAGTTGTAGAGCTTTAATGCTGCATTATAAGGAACAGCAAAACCAGAAGGCTAATTGATGTGAAGCCAACTCATCACCTCATTTGTAGCTTTATTCCCGTGTCCTTCCCATCATTTTTCTTAACAAGAAAACACTGCAGTGATAGCAGTTTCAGTAGAGCAGGACAAGAGTCCAAATGACAGTGAAAGAGTAAAAAAGAGAAGTAAAAGTCAACCAGCCTAGCATACCTAAACAATGTTGATTGATAAATATAGGTTGGTATCAAATATGGGGAAAAGTTCTCGAAAAACCTCATAAAACTATTCAAGCAAAAGCAGTCAAAGCATAAATGTATAGGTATAGTCTTGAAATATTCATCAAGGTCTTCAGAAAAGCAAAGTATAAATTATTTTAAAGTAGAAAGTGCTTCCAAATAGAATTATGAATAAATAAGTTTCTGTCTGTTTCTGACAGACAGAAAGAGAAATGGAACTATACCAGGATAGGATTAATTATGCAACCAAACCCTGTATTATGAAGCTTTAAATCTTTAGAATATGGAATACAAATTAGAAAAATATATTGGAATCACGGTATCTTACTTCGTAGTATGGCAGTAACAATAAACATTTGGATGAATAAATTACACAGATGCCAACAGTTTTTTTAAATATTTATTTATTTATTTATTTATTTATTTTGGCAGAACCAGGGATTGAACTCAGGTCCTTGTGCTTGCCGGGCAAGCGCTTATTCTACTGAGCCATCTCCCCGGCCTCAGTTTTTTAAATTTAGTCAGCAAGACCATTATATCAGAGAAGAACATGACCAGTTACCTCCTAAAAATTCACCTCTTTAGCCACATTGGCATATAGTGTACACATTTTTCTGTCACCCCTTGCTTGCTTCCTTATTCTGAAAGCTTGGAGTATTTTGTTTTCCTGTATGGAAGAAATAGCTATTTCAAGAAAGATAATGGAACACTTTGGACTTTTGAAATCATCGGATTAATTTGTTGTACACAGATGGCCAGTGTGTTTTCTCTGCTGATCATTTGGTGTCTTCACACAGAGCCGTCGTGTGACCTGAATTTCCCTGCTCTGGACTCCTGCTCCTGGGAGGGAGCGCAGCTTTCCTCACAGCTCTACCGAAACAAGCAGGTCCGTGTCACCGAGAACACGCGGACTGTTCTCTGCTGTGTCTTCCCCTTATGCTGTCTCTTCTTCTCTTTCAAATCTCACATTGACGTTGCTTAGAATCAAAGTAAGTGTCTGTCCAGGGAAAGATAAAGTTAGATGAACAATGTCAGAGAGGAGAGAGAGAGAGAGAGAGAGAGAGAGAGAGAGAGAGAGAGAGAGAGAGAGAGAGAGAGCAACAGGAACACTCTAAAAACAAAAACCTGCAATCAAACTGATTCTTCACATGTTAGCTGTGTGAGTCCCTGAATCCCCCTATTCCTCCCTGATGAAACTGGGAATATTTGTGAGGAATACCACAAAGGGTTGATGGAAAAGCCAGATGACATACTGTCATAATATTTTTAGATGGTGAACTGAAATAATCACCACAAGAAGGGGTGATACTTATGTGAGTGTTTCTGGAGATTACCCCATTTTCTAGGATTTGTTTATTGTGGCTTTTGAAGAGTAATTTGACACAATGGACATGTAGGCAGCCACATCCTCTTTTTTTCCTTTTAAATGTGTATGGGAGAAGTCTAACCAAGCCCTTCTGAACACCCTTTTCTATATTTAAACAGTGGCACTCCGCTCATTTCCCTCCATACTTACTTGATTCCCTTGTGGTTTCAACTTGGAAAGTCATTTAATCTCTTCAAACACTTTGTAATAAATGAAAAATTCAAAGCACAAAACTGAACAGTCATGTGGTAGAGGGGTGTAGATTTAATTTAGGTCTCTGTGAAAGAGGACTCCCTGAAATTCTGTTCAGAAAACAAACAGAATAATCAAGTTTAAGAAGATTGAGGGGCAGCAGCATTGCTATAAGTTTACTAAGTCAATAGAGTAGAGTGGCCTTCACCATTGTCTGCTTTTTACAGCTTCAAGATACTCTGATACAGAAGGAAGAAGAACTTGCTAGGCTACACGAAGAGAATAATCACCTCAGACAATATCTGAACTCTACTTTGGTTAAATGTCTTGAAGAAAAGGCCAAGGTGTGTTAACAGTCTCTTTTATAAGATCAGGGCAGAGATTTGAGAAAGGAAACCATTGACCACAGAACAAAATGAAAACCTCTTGGATTAAGTATGAGAAATGTACTAAGCAGAGTGTCTTGATGTATGTTAATCAATTGATTAATTCTTTTCTTAAGGAAATACATGATGCTCACAAGAGAATGTATGTGTTATTTCCTGGGAATGTCTAGATTTCAGCATTCAGCCAGGCATTGCAAAGGAGTTCTTGAAGAACCAAAAGGTAATTCAGAGAAGTATCGAGACCTCAGAGGTTAATCAAAAGGAGCGTTAGATACAAGGAATACTGGAGTAGACATTGATACAAAAAAAAGTCAGTTATTTCAACTATCTCTTTGACTTTAGATAAAACATTCTCACAGGGCATCCATTAGCTTTTTGTGCAAATGGGTGAGGAAAAACATCTGTTCAGAATCTCTCTTGGTCTAAAATGCTATGAGTCAGACTAGATGTCAGATACATTAAGTGTCCTGACTGGCAGTTAGCTGTATGGAATTCCACTACCTTCAATCATGACTTTCCTACACTTTTAGATGAGTTGTTTTCAATTTAAGGATGAATAGCTCAACTCTAGTCTTCTGTTCTTTTTATTTTCCTTGTTTTTGCAAGTTTACTTGTGTGTATGTGTGTGTCTGTGTGTCTGTGCACGCACACGTGTGCAAGAAAGCATGTATGCATATTTCTGTTACTGGGGTTAGTCAGTCTGGAATGAAGTGCCTTTTTCTTTTTCTTTTTTGGCCAGCCTGCCCTGGGGGTGGGGCTGGCACAGCATGTGGTGCCGGGGACAGAACTGTGGTCCCCTGCACTGGCCTAAGCTTGCCCAAGCAGGCATTTTAGACTGCTGAGCTATCTCACTGGCCCCTTGTCTGGCTTTCTACTGAGCACATTTTAATTTATGTTGAGATAGTCTTATAAAATCAATAAATTTCCCAATTTGGGATAGAATTTTCAATCCTTGTGCCTCAGCCTCCTGGAGTTTTGAAATTACAGGTGCATACCGTATTTTCCAGCTGTTTTGAAAACATTTTATTATGTTATTTTTATTTGTTTATTTATCCATTTGTACCTTGCCTCTACTCAAATTCCATTATTTTTTATTTGAAATCTAAATTGATACACTTATTAAACATAACAGTTCAGAGGAGATCTTAGACTGGATTCATTTACAATCATTATTTTTGATGCAAAAGGAGCATATCTCAAAGTTCTCAGCCTGAACTCCTCATTCCACCCGCTATTCCATAAATGAGCCATTTATCACTTACTAAATGATACTGGTTAGGTGGTTTTATTTCTCTTGATCTCAATTTTATTAGAACAATATGATGATTGATCTCATGAGAATGCTTTGCAAGTTAATGAAATAAACCAGGCAATGTCGGATAGTGTTGAAATCAGAGGTTCTGCTTAGATTCTGAAGGGTATGGTTCAAAGCTGAGCTGAGAGATCCTTAGTAAGTCACCAAGTTGTCTGTGCCCCATTTTGCTCGTTAACAGAGATTAATAGCCTTTATGAGTGATGAGGTCATGCAGTCGATCAATCCTTTAAAACTAAAACATGAATAACAGCTTATTTACTTCTAAATGATAGTTCAATAAATGATAATTGCCATCATCAACATCTTTTCTCCCAAGTTGAAATGTTAAAGGCAGCCTCTATTGATTTTATTTTTTCAAAATAGAGTAAAAACTGAATTAAAGTTTCTAGATAATAAATTATCATCTTGTATAGATTTTAATTCACAGACATTCATCTAACCAGCTTTGCTTGTATATGAAAAACTAAAATTTTAATTTTTCTACAGCACGATGGCAGCCAGTAAGTACTTGAAAGATGCGTAATTTCTCAACTTCCACTCTTCTAGAAATTGCTTTCTTCAGACGAGTTCTCCAAAGTATGTCGGAAATTCAGAAAGGGGAAGAGGAAACCTAAAGAGCAAAGATACTCTCCTCCTGAGACTCCCCACCCCAAAAATGCCAAGAGGAACCTTATCAGTGAGTTTGCAAACTGTGCAGAACAATCTGGCCCCCCTGTGGATCCCTGGGTCCTGCAGACGCTTGGGTTGAAAGACTTCAACACCATTGACGATGCTAGATCAGCTAACTACAGTGCCCTCTCCACTCACCCCCAAGGAGTCACCAGTACATTTTCCCACCTTCTTGGGGAAGCAGTTGATTATGACAATGTCCCCAGGGAGGATGTACCCAGTCACCATCAAGGTGAAAGACCAGCCCTAGTACACAGCACTGCCAACCCCAGGGAAGAGCTTCACTACCTTCCACCACTTTCAAATCCCCCAGGGATGGTCCACATGCTCCCTTATCAGGATGCGGATGTGTCACCCAACAAGACAGAGATGGCCTTTTCCACATCCCTCAGCCCACACTGCAATGTGAAGACTCATTCTTTCCACCAGGGACAAGCTTTTGTGCGCAGAGACAAAGAGGGAGGCTGGAAGTTTACCTGGGTCCCTAAGCAGTCTTAGTCTCCCACATGGATCACAGAGCATGGCCTGGGACTGTTTACAAAGGCCTCCCCTGCACTTGGCTGTGACTACATGGAGCCCTGAAGCTTTTACCCCAACTCTTTCCTGCCATTTTAAAAGTTACTCTCAGTTATCTATTTAAATCCACAGGGAATGACTTTCAAGAATTTATACAGAGAGGCATCTGCTCTTCTTTCACCTAAATTGGATTTGTTTAGGCACAAGTATCTATGAGTTGACTTCCTTTCTTTGCTTTATACTTGAAACAGTAGTTTTGCATTATGGGTAGAGTTGTTCAAGCTTTAGTTTTACTTTTCCAGTTATGACCAGTGTAACAATGTTCCTTCATTCAACAAAGAATTAATGTTCATAGCCCTTTTACTTGTCTTTCTTTCTTGTTTCTCTGTCTTTCTGGATATTGCCTTTAGAATAAGCACTGGTATTGGTTAAGTAATTTCTACTGAGTGCTCAAATAGCTGAGGTGGGGCAGATGTGTCTGTTCATCATCATTTTAATGTACATGGATGCTGGCTGACAAACTATTGTTCCTGGTAGTATCGTCCACTGTAGATGTGCATTACATTAATTTGGTCCTCCGTTCCTTTCTTCACCAGCTCTCCTGAAATATCTATAGAACACCTCCTTTGTACACTCTATGGGAGACCCTGAGATATCTTCTGAGCGACTTAGACTCTATGTCCACACTTAAGAAACCTGGAATCATATCTCTGTTTTGAACCTTGAAAAAGCTACTTGCATTGTATGAAAGTTTAGTTTTCCTAGAAAAATATGGTGCTTGATGAGATGTTTGCTCACATTCTATGAACTGATATGAGGCCACATCTGCTTCACTCCAGAGTAGGAATTCCTGGCCACTTTCCCCTTCTATTTTGATAAGAACTACAGTTATTGTGCAGGGAGAACTTTATTTAGAGTTTTTTACGAGTGAGTCATTTGTAGTTAGAATGAGAAATCACTGTTCTTGCTACAGCATTTTTTTCTACTAAGAGTCCATTTACTTGCTTAGTTCAGTCTGTTTGAGAGTAACTTGAATCTAGAAATGGCTATGTATTATTTTTCAAGTAAGTGTGCATAGAGTGAAATCAACTATTGATATCATGGGTTCTTCCCTTTCTAAATTTATAACAGAAAGGTATTTTAGTGCTCTTCCTAGTGCTTTCCCATCCCCCAAACTTTCTACTCTTCCTGGTAAGCCATTCCGCAAAAAGATGTGCACCTATGTTTCTCAGATCAACTTTACTTACTGAGGAAGCCAACCATGTTGAATCCCATTCCCATTTTGTTCTTTCTCATTTCCTCTCAAATGGCCTTGCACAACTGATATTTTACAACTGTGTTGTTGGGAATTCTAACAAAGACATTTCTTTTTTCTTTTTTTTTTTTTTCCTGGTTGTTTATTTACTTTGGTCAGTGAACAAAGCAGCTATGTTAAAACATTATTATACTCATCAATTTGCTTTATAATCCATGAAAGGGAATTCGAGATAGTAGTTAATATTATTCTGTGGAATGTTTTCATAGATTTGGAAAAGCTAAAACCACATTCCACTTTCTCAACAAAAAATTGAAAGTGCATTTTATAGTCTAGTGCCCCTGGTGGGTAAATCTTCTCAGTTTAGAATAACAAATTTATGAATTAGAATTGATTGTAGTCTACTCCTCTAGGAATTGAGTAAACAGTCAGTGTAACAGTTTTGAAAGCATAATAAGTAATCAAACTATAAAAAAAATCAGTTACCATGTTTACTTTGCATTTTAAAAGCTGCATTATGTGTCGAGCACCATTAGGGTGAATCCAGGTTTAGCTCATTGCTTTTTGGTACATGAAAAAAAAAGTCACATAAAATATCATAGCTTATGAAAGCTTTTGAACAAAACTGGTTCTCAATCTTCTTTAAAGAAATTATAGAACATTTGTGTGGCAAATTGTGACAACCTGTTCTGGCTTACATCATAAAGCATGGTATGGAATAAAACAAATACACATTGTTGCAATCGTATCTACAAACATTTGGTAGTTTTTGACTTATGTATAGAAAATTATTTTGCTAATATTTGAGAAATTAAAACTTTCACTTGAGCATATGTTCTAGCACCTATGGTTTTATCATTCTTGTCTAGTAAACTGCAGTTACTATTAAGGTAAAGTGGGAAATAAAAATGAAATTCTTTTTCGATTATGATAAATATTTTTATATTGTGCATAACATCTTCTAATAATAGATTTTTTCCTCTGTGAGATAACCACAATCTTATTTATTGATACTTATTTTGTATGATATATATATCCACAATAATGCTATCTTCAGCACTAAGGGCTTAATGTTTCTTCCCATTACCGAGCCTTTCAGACA